AGCCATCAGGGAACAGGGAGGTTGGATGGGGCAGGAGGCAGATAAAAGAGGTGGGGGTCAGGCCACGACCCCCTCCCCTAACCGGCTCTCCATACAATTTACGAAACCCGATGCGGCCCTCAGGTCAAAAAGTTTGCCTGCCCCTGCTTTAGTGTCAGGTCTTGAACTGCACAAGCACGTAGAACCTATCACCCCCAAACTACACTTTGTTACAATAGCCTCTGCAGGTAAAATAATTAGGAAATGCAAGACAGGCTTGCCCTTAGTGTGATGACTCAGGCATAACCAGCAGGCAAGCGTGAGCTCCACACAGACAAAGCTATTTTTACGCAGTATCTTTGAAGCTCTTTTTTGTTAACAGTTGCTGGCATTGCTTACCTGTTGAATACTGCTTCTTTGCCTGCTAGACGACTTTTAATTTTACTAGTAAGATAGTCCAAGAAGAGTGTCCAAATGTCTAAGCAAGAAAAGTAACCTTCATGGGTAGGCTGAAATACACAAAACCCCATATTAAACATCATGAACTGCAGTAAAATATAGATTATATGTAGCCAGAATTTGAGTTGGTGCGAAACTTTCAAGAATGGAAGGACACTTCCATTAAGTGATGCAGATTTGCTTTAGTGAGGAATTTTCCGTGTCACTTGGAAAAACCCTACTTGCCTGAACTGTCAAAAGGGGGGTGAGGTCTGAGTTTAGGACTGGGAGCCAAGACCTCCCAGGCTCTAGTCCCGCTTCTGACTGACTCCTCCTGTGACCTTGAACTAGGCAAGTATCTTTCCTTTTGCAGTTCCCTCCCGTGTCACAACATATGAATAATTACAAGTGCAAATAAGGTTGTAAGTTTAATTGAATGGTGTGAAAGCAGTTAATCTTGTAGCAGGTTTAAGGTGACACTCTAGGTCATGGTATTGGAGGGTGGTGGTGGGGAGAGATAAAAATCATCCCCCACCAAGCCTGAGAGAAGCTGTAAAAACAACAGTTTCAGAAGTGACAAAAAGCCATCCCCCAGCATAGATGTGTGGGGGTTATACAGAGACTTTTCAAAAAAGTTTCTCCAAACCCAATTAAAACAGCAACAAAGATAAAAGCCAGCCAAGTCATTCATGCAAGATAACTAGATCTGATCGTTTTTCAACTATTTGGGGCCAGGAGCAAGATTTCCTGCGTGTTATGCTATTAGAAAGTGCATGAAGGCTTCCAAGAAGTCCCAAGGTGTTAAGCCAGTAGAAATCTGTATAACATGTTCAGTTGCTAAAAAGGCATGAAACTGAAGTTTTAGTGGGCTGCCTTTGAGCTATCAGACCTATTGGGAATAAGCTATCCTTTACCCATATCATACATGGTTAGGACATACAAAGAAGGATGGACTAAGATCAGAGCAGTGTCAGTGCTGTACCTGATGAAAGGTGTATTTGAACAAAAGAGCCAAAAATTCAACCACTGGGAACTGAGAGTATGATTCAATCCTCCTTAGGTGGACGCTCACAAAGAGACGCAGAAAATCTGTAAACTTCTCAATGTAGCTAGAGGAAAAAGGAGAGAAAACAATTGATAAAACATGAAGGAAGCCATAGGGGAAAAACAATTTCATTGAAATAGTGAAAAAGTCACTCAAAGCCCTTTCATTAAATAAAAACAACATTTAATAGCCAGTAGTACAATTAAAATATAAAGCCCTGCAACAATTACCTACAGGACGGGCAACCCTTCATTCCATTAACACCTGAAACACAGCAGAAAAGACAGTCTAGTCAAAAGCAACTTTAGTGTTCAGATAAAACAATATGAATTAAATAAGGCCTTCAGATAAGCAACCCCCTTAGTGCTACAAATATTTAGCAGTAAGACCCATCATAGCTGAATGGATATGGATGGGGTTAGTCAACAGAATGTAGCACTTGGGGGAGATACTGTTGAATGGGATAAACACAGATATTGGGAATTGATTTTCTGGTATTAAAAACAAACCAACGGCAACACCCATGTCACGGAGATAAATAGGAAGTACTCCGGGGACTGGGGAAATATAACCCAGTAATTCCTGCATCAAGTCCAAGAGCTTGTGATTGAACTAGACCATCTCTTTTACAAAGAGAGGCAGTCTTGATTTAAACACGCCTTGTCAGTTTTCCCCCAGATCTAGGATTAGTCAGTTCCATGATTAAGACTGTGTCTTTCTGATGCTACAGTATATGAAGTGAAGGGCCCAAAAAGGAACCTACCACCAAAATTTAGACACACTTTCATGGCAGAATAAGTAGTTAAAGCTTCAAGAAAGCATTGCTAAAACAAATTATAAACTGCAGTGTGGACTGTTACTGTGGAGTGAACATGCACTGTGCAATATGGAGCTTTACCAGAGTTTAGGATATCATTTTAATTACATATTGACTGCAAAACCTGTATGCCATCACTGCACAGGATGCTTTGTGAACATTCTAATACCAAGAACCCCACTGATGTAGTTACATAACTGCACTGCTGAAAAGCCGATCTCTCCCACCGATGTGACGGTTTAGAGTTCTTAAATATCAAAAAGTATTTCAAGAGTTTTTTTTTAAAAAGAAACATCACACAGCTGAAGACACCAAAATAATTTTAGTGGTAAAATTCTAAGACACTCAGGAACGACAGCCCCTTATTATATCTGTGCTGATGGGAAATGCTGTATTTGTCCAACACACCTCACTGTGAGGAAAAAAAATTTCCTTTTAGTTGAACAAAGCTAGCTCCAAACTAGAGTCACTACTGAACAGGAACAGCAAGTTGCATCATTCCCAGACTGGTCATTATGAAACTGTGGACCCACACAATTGCTGGAATGCATGAGGTAGTAAGATTATATTTATAGTTTATTTGGCACCAGTCCTCTTGGCAAGAGGGACTCCCATTAAGTATGTACTGGTCATTGGCCAAATACTTCAAAACTAAAGCAACCTAGTGGGAAACAGTTATCCTGAGCTCAGTGCTTTCTTTAAGCCAAGATCTAATCCAAGATCTGCTGAAAGTTTTATATGGATGCAGGCCTCTAGGAGCCACTAAGCCAGTTGTTAGCTTTGGAATTACCATTTATACTTAGTTACTACACTTCGGATTTCATTAAAGGTACTGGAAACTAAATGCCACACAAATAGGAAATTGCAAAATATGTTTAAGGTTAACATTTTCTGTACTAGTTTACAAGCTCAAGAAGGCTCAAAACTGCACTAACTCCATGGTAAATGAAGTAACTAGTAACCATCACCCCACATCACTCCTGTCCCAGATAAGAGTGAACTTTTAAGGCAATCAAGGTTTTAAAGGTTTCAGAGTAGCAGCCGTGTTAGTTTGTATCCGCAAAAAGAACAGGAGTACTTGTGGCACCTTAGAGACTAACTAAATTTATTAGAGCATAAGCTTTCGTGGACTACAGCCCACTTCTTCGGATGCATCCGAAGAAGTGGGCTGTAGTCCAC